TCAAAGTGGTGGCCATACCCAGTACCCTTATTCTCTCACAGATTTTTTAAAGCACCTTTATTGGGCAGGAAAGTTTTTCTAAGAATGAATGTTACAAAGACCAGAGAATCATAAAGGAAAAGTATGATAAACATGAACCCTGAAAATTTTAAACCCTTCAGTGGAAAAGTTGAAAGAAAAATAGGAGTCCAGAAGTATATCTCCAATAAGCCCATAGCCTTCAATCACTGAAACGCCCTTCATCCCTAGACCAGAATTGAAACAGACATTTCCCCAGTTACGCTCGCTGGCAGAGTAACTTATCTCTTCTGTCCGCCTTTCCTGAGAGGCCCCAGAGTCACTCGCTTGTTTTAACTTTCACCCAAAGGTGCCTCAGTGCGGGGTGGGGAGGGGCTTTCTTCCCAGTGAGAGCAGCTTATGGAAAGTTTTCTCTCAGCAGAGTGAGCAACCCTGGGCATCTCACAGGCGCTCCCCACTCCCCTTCCCTTCCTTCCCACCCATTTCTCTCCCTGGTTACCACTAGGTAGAGCTAGAACTCCATTAGAATCCCCTTTGTCACTGGCCAAGTTTCATGCTTTTAGGGGGAAAGGAGTATACTTCAAGTCAATTAAAACGCTAAAATGTTTACAGGTTGCTCTTTTCCTTTCAAGACAAAAAGAGCTTTTGAGGGGGTAATATAGATTCTTACAGCTTCCATTAACTACTTTGTTGTAAAGAAAATGTATCAGTGAGGAAATTAGCTCTATATTCTTTAGCCACTGGGATACAACCCTCCGGTATATTTGCTTCACTGGGGCCACTTTCTCATCTTCCATCCTGATCTTTCAACCTCATCACGGTGGTTAGACCAAAGATCAAACACACCAACAGAGACTCTCTCCAGGACGGAAGGAGAATCTCCCCAAACTTAAGCCAGGTCACTTCAGAGTGTTCCAGTTCACACTGAGATGCCCCACTGGCTCACCTGGTACCTGAGGTGGGCACATGGAGATGCCGGTCACCAGCACAGCACCTGGCACTCGGCAGATGCCTAGTGAACATCTGTGTCTATATGGCCAGAGCTTGAGGATGGGTGGCCACCAACAGATTGGCTGTCTCAGCACCTGAATGTCCTCAGAGCTGGGCCTTGAGGCTCACAGCCCAGCCCTCCCCCACAAACAACTCCACTATCCACTTGGCCACAATGGGCAGTCTCAGAGGCTCATGAATTTGCGTACACAGGCAACAGGGAGAAGGGGAACCCTGGAGTGACACTGACTTTTTTATTTATGGAGCAAAATTGAATCTCAGAAAATCCAGCAAATGGATGCCCCCTCCACCCAGAGCAACCCGCTTGTTTTTGCCCTCAAGGTTTTGCATTTGGTTCAACATCTAGTTAGTGTCCAATGACACCCCTGGCAAGGTCTCCACTCTAGAAAACCAACCACCCCCTCAGTAGGGTCTGGAAACAACTTCATTTCAGTTTAGTCAGAAAAATGCATGTTTATAGCTTGTTGTCCATGTTAAAAAAAAGTGAAAATAATATTATAAAACCAGGCTTACCTGTTCATTCTTCTGAGAAAATGAGTTAGATATGTTTTGAGACCAGGAAATTGTTCTACATTGGAATGAAGACCAGAAATGTAAGTGTGGAAGAATGTTAAGGTTTGAATTTGCTTATTTTATTTTGTATCAGTAATGTATTTTAATCTTATTTTTAAAAAGTAATGTTTATTTACATGTGGGAATTTAAACCATAAACCTACTGCCCAGATAACCTCTTGTTGATCTTTCGAAAATAAAATTCATATGTACACACTGTTTGAAGAGTCAAACAACACAGAAAGGTAGAAAATGGAAAGAATAAAAGTCCTCCCTCCCCAACCACACAGTGGTAGTAACTGTCCACATTCCACATTTCCTATGTATCCTTCCAGCAAAAAGTATATACACATTACCAAATTTTTGCATATTACATCATTTTACTTAGAAGGGATTACACTATGCACAATATACTAAACTGTGCTTTTATTTTAACTTACCACAATCCAGAATCTATCAGAGGTCTTTTCATATTAACACACGTATATTTGCTTCATTATTTTAATGGCTCCATAGATTCCATTTTATGGCTGTGCCATAATTGACTTAAACAGTCCCCTGTTGATGAAATTCAGGTTATTTCCAATCTTACTGCCATTAAAACAAAGCTATAATGAACACTCTTTTTCATTTATTTTAGCTACTTCTATAACTCTATTGACAGAACAAATTCAGACCTAGGTAATTGTTAGGTCAAAAGGCATTTGTATTTCAGTTTTTGCTTTAAATATGTTGGCAAATTGTCTTAGAAAAACACTATTACAAATTTGTATTCTAACCATCAGTGTATAAGAGTGGCCGTTTCTCTGAGTCCTCATCAACATTGGGTGTTATTTTAGTTTCCAGCAACTTGGTAAGTTTAAAAATGGTTGTTTACCCTGATAGACAGTGACTGCAACGGGGTGCTGGGAGGATTTGATAATATGGGTGAATATTGAAACCATAATGTTGCTCATGTGAAACCTTCATAAGATTATATATGAATGATACCTTAATTTTTAAAAAATGGTTGTTTAGATTGTATTTAATTATGTATGAGGATTAGGGTCTTCGCAGGATTTTTTGTCACTTGTCTTCCTGTTTCTCTGAATCACTTGTTCACATCCTTTGCTTATTTTTTCCATAGGATTGTTCATCTTTTTTATTGATTTATATGTTCCTTCTGCTAATTGAGGAAAACAGGCCTTTGTGTGGCAAGTGCTTTTCTCAGTTTGTTATTTTTATTTTGGTTATTGGTATTTGCCCACAGAAGCTGAGATCTACTCTAACCATCTTCTTCATAACTACTGAATTCTGTGCTCTGTTCCTAAAGTCCTTCCCTAGCTTCTGATTATGAATAACTTCACCTACATTTTCTTGGAAAATTCTATGATTTAATTTTTATGGGATTCAGTTTAAGATTTTCCCAAATGGTTAGCCAGTTGTGGCAATGCCATTTGTCAGAGAGCTCCCCCCTTTCATTTTCATCCTTTAGGGATTTCCAGTCCCTTAGGGGCCACATGGCTCTGTTTAATCCCCAGAGTGAAGCCCACGTAAGTGCCACAGTGCTTTCCCCCAGGTCTGCCAGAGACAGACCAGAAAGGCCATCACCAGGATCCCTCAGAGACCTCTGTCATCGGAGCAGAGCAACATCAGTCTCTCAGAGACAGAGAGGGTGCTGCTGCTCTGCTGGACACAGGGGACAACAGTCTTCCACTCCTCAGAGGGAAGGGGGACATGCATCCAACCAACATCTTCCTTTTGAAAGAAAAAGAAGAGAAAGAGAAACCTCAGGGGAGAGTGCACTCGCTGTACAGAAAGAAGAAACTACACCTGCATTTCTGAAGACACACACACACACACACACACACACACACACACACACATCTGGTCATTGAGTTTCTCCACTACGGGCACCAGACCTAAAGAGCCCTCTCAAAGGCAGGACCCCCAAGAATGATAAAGCCAATATTAAGGAATATCTGGATTCCTTTCAAAGAAAAGAATTCTAAAAGACCCTCCAGAATTATCAGCAAGGCCCCAATCCAAGAAAAAAAAAAGAAACCAAAGACTTATTCTATAAAGAGACTCCGATTAGAAGTTAACACATTTAAAACTGCTGAAAAGATTTAAGTCATCATTAAAGTGAAAATGTGAATTTAAAGTTTTTTTTCCCAGAATTAAAAGATCTAGAAGAGCATACCCCTGGGTGAGGTAGGGGATTGAGAAAATCTGGCAAAGGCTCTATCATATAGCAGACCTACAGCTGAATATCTTTCCACACACGTGAGTAAAATAAGTCTTTTCCCCTCCAATATCTCCATCTATTTCTGCCTTTCCTGATTCAGCAAGTCTGAGCTCCAGGCCACAAAAGTGATCCCCTTCCCCTTTTTATCTTGTTCCTTAATCCCTTTGAGTTTTTCCAGTAAAAATAGTTTGTGATTCTTATTGGAAAATTGTTGAAATCTTTACTATAAAAGTAGACCATTTAGAAACTACAGAATATTTTAAATGTGAAAAGCCACCCCCTCGACCTGAGAGATAATATCCCTGTCAGCTGTGTGGGCTTCCTTCGGCCTTTTGCTTGGCTTGAGTTCTTTTCGGTACATACCTAGATGGGCCAGGGCCTGCAGGCCGCCCTGGGAGCTCCCTCCCACCTCTCCGAGGCCATGAGCAGGTTGGCCTGGGAGAGACCCTGGCTTGGTTCCCACAGTGTTCTCCCAGAGCACTGTTCTTTTCTGGAGACTCCCTAGTTTACAAGGGGCTGGAACCCTTGAGCCACTCTCTCCTCCCTGAGAATGGAAGGGGAAAGAGGGGTGCTCAGGCCCTCCCAGCCCAGCCTTCTACCCTCCCTACTCTTGATGCAACCCTAGGGTTCAGTCCAAAAGCATGGCCTGGGGCCAGGACAGTTGTCTTTCTGGTCTGCAGCCCAGCAGGTGACTAAGGCTGAGGGCAGAGAAGGAGGATCCCAGCTGCCTTCCTGGCTCAGTCCCCACCAGGCTGTGTGACCTCAGACACACATCAGCCTCTCAGGTCATGCACCCCACATGAAGAATATGGTGGTGGTGGTTGTCTGCTACCTTAGGAGCCCAGGAGCATGAGAGGGCTTGAAGGGCTTCTCCCAAATGGCCCATGCTCTCTTATACTCAGTCACACACACCATTGCCTCTGATGGCTCGCCCACCTTCTCCGGCTCCCTCCCTGCTCCCCTCACACAGGCACTCCTGTCTCCTAAGACCCCAGCTAATGCATAACTTACAAATGATACCTACTTTGTAAATGTTTATAAATATTATCGTAAAGTTTTAAAAAATAAGACCCAGGTTTCTGTCTGTTGTTACCTCATCAGAGGTGCACACTGCAATTGTGAGAATTACAGGATATATTTGGAATGGTTGGACTTAAAATACCTAAGTAACCCACACACATTTACTCTGCAGGAACCAGGGGTCCCTCAAATGGCTGGGCTGTCATCTTCAGAGAAGTTAAAACCGTGACTCAGTGAGTGACCCATGTCATGAAGAGCAGACGTGTGTCTCCTACGGGAAGTCCCATGGCTGTCTGAGCCATGCTCAAAGCAACCCTGCTGCTCTCGGGGATGCGGCAGCACCCAGTGGTTACCGAGCGTGGGTAATGACTCTGCCAAGTGATGCCAGGCCAGCCAGCCTGGGCCTGTGTGCGTGGGCCCTGCAAAACACCTGGAAGGACACACACCCACATAGAGACACCCCGGGAGGCTCTCTGTGGGCTGCCGTGATGGGGACATTTTCATGTTCTTTATTTTCAGATTTGTCAAAAAGGTGTGTTTAATCAGAAAAAAATGGAGATAATTCCTTTTTCTAAAAGTTATTTAAGAATGTGGAAATGAAGGGGGTCAGAGCAGCTGCCCGGTCCAGGCAAGCTCCCTGGGGGTGGGAGGCTAGAGCAGCGCCTCCGTGGGCAGGGCTGAGAAGGGCTCTTACCTCACGTGCTCTGGTGGGCTGGGGAGCAGCCACCTTCATGAGCACAGGACCCCGGGTCTGAGGAAGGGACAGCAGTGATGATACATGAATTTAACTAAGGCCCTCACTTGGAGCCCAGGATGCCCACTGGTCCAAGCTGGATGGAGTAGCGGTGGTGGGACCAGGCTGGGAAGTTTTCCTAATCTCAACAGCGGCCCTGAGAGTTCCGGAGCCAGAGGGGTGGAGACTGCAGAAGAGCCCAGCACTTGGGGCCTGGGTGCCTTACCCGCAGCACCTGCGCCAGGCCCAAGGACTGCTAGTCCTGGGCCCCACAGACCTGCGGGCTCCTGTGGTAGCCTGCACTCCCCTCCCCTAGGCTGCCAGTGTCTGAGCTGGAGCCTGTAAGGCAGGGTGGTATGGGGTGGCAGCCAGTGAGGAGGAGGGAAAGATAGAAAGACAACAAGAGACAGCAACACAGAGAGAAGGACAGAGATAGATACACAGAAAGACTCAGAAACACACATTGCAGGGCACAGAGAATGACACACATACATCTGTAGAGTTAGAGAAGGGGACAGAATGAGAGAGAGAAATTAAGGGCAGCACCTACATTCCACTTAGTTGCCTCCTAACAGCAGACAGAGAGGCAGGAAAGGTCAGGAGGTAGACAGAGAGGACAGAGCTAGAGATGAGATAAAGGAGGTCTGAGCATCAACGTCAAACATTTGCTGTGTGCTTAGCCCCACCCCATATGCTGCAGGGAACAAAAAGGCAGGTCCAGTTCCCTGCCAGAGCTGTGGCTCCATCCCCACCTGAGAAACATTAATACACCGAGACAGGCTTTCCAAGAGCTAAAGGGGAGGCAGAGGCTCCCACAGAGCTGAGGTTACCAGTGGTGGCTTGGTGACAGGGTCGCATTTGAGCTGCCACTTGAAGAGCAGGTGGGAGGAAGGAGCAAGGGCTTTCAGTGGGGAGGATGGTGTCAGCAAAGCTTGTGGGTGCAAAGACACAGCTGAGTACAGTTAGGAGAGCTTTGAATGCCACTCTAAGGCTGCGGCAGGAGCCCCTGTCACACCTGAGCAGAGGAGTGGTGTGGCGGGAGCTGTGCTGTCGGAAGACCTGGGCTAGCGAGCAGCCAGACCTGAGGCCGTGGAATAAAATAGAGGACAGGGTTGCAGGCACCCACTGACCCCTCGGTCCCTAATCCCAGTCCCCCCACCCTGTCTGATACTGCATTCCAGCAACCCCAAACAACTGGCCCACACCAGGCTGCCTCTCCACTCTGTGCCTTTGCCCCTGCCTGGAAAGCCCGCCCCTTCCACAACCCCCATCACCCACAATTACTGAAGCAAGGTTTAAATGCTCCACAAGGGTCTTCTCTTCCAGGAATCCTTCAGGGAGGCCCCTCCTGGTTCCTCTCATCAGCAAAGCCAACACAAAATCTCCAGGGCTCAGCTGAGTCAGGTCATGTTTTTGACCAAGACCAGAAAACATAACTGGCTCCATCAGCATTTTTGCCTCACCACACCCAGAATGTGCCTGTCCCCCAGTGCGACACCCCACCAGCTGTCAGGCCTCAATATCCAAACCCTGAAGAGAGGAGGGAATGACTGGGAAGAATGTAGTGACAGGGTGGGGCCCATTTGCCTAGAGGTGCTTTGGGCTGGCTGGTCACTGAGTAGTGACTCATTCCCCAAGAAAGGAGGGGAGTGGCCTTGGGGGACAACAAGGGCTGACAGGGAGCCTTTGTGGAAAGAGCTTGCCTCTGCCTTACTGCTGTGGCTGGGCCCCAGGAGGCTGGGGGCTGCACACTGCCTCTTCCTTGTCCTCTCAGGCCCTTGGAAGAGAAGACCCTCCTGGGAGCCTCCTGCCCTCCACCCCCTACAGCTGGCTGCCCACCCACTCAGGCCAGGGCCATGGAGAAATTCCACATGCTCTTCCAGCACTTCCGGTCCAGCTCAGAGTCAGTGATGAATGGCATCTGCCTGCTGCTGGCCGTGGTCACCGTCAAGCTGTACTCCTCCTTCGACTTCAACTGCCCATGCCTGGCGCACTACAATGCCCTCTATGGCCTGGGCCTGCTGCTCACACCCCCGCTTGCCCTGTTCCTCTGTGGCCTCCTTGCCAACCGGCAGTCAGTGGTGATGGTTGAGGAGTGGCACCGGCCTGCAGGGCACCGGAGGAAAGACCCAGGCATCATCAGGTGGGGCCCCACACCACCCCGCTCCCTGTGGGCTCCCTGAGGGGCTCCCCACCTGCATGGGCACTGCCAGGCGCACCCCGAACCCCAAAGACCACATGGGCACTGTCAGGGCTCCTCCCCACCCCAAAGGCACTACCCAGGTGTGCCCCTGTCCTCCCCCAATGAGGCGACATAAGCTCACAGGGCCCCGTCTGCCAGTTTCCACTCTGGAAACAGATACAGCTGATCCTGTCATTTGTCACCTTTCCGCAGCCAGTGCTGGAGACACATGAATGATACGAGATTACCAAGATTTCTCCAGGTCACATCTATGACACTGGCCATAGACTATACCTAACCACATGCATGAAGGCCATCCCCTGACTTGCAGAGCCAGTTTTTGTGCGTAGTGGGAGGCAGATTGGCTTAAAGGCGGCATCCCCTCTCCTGTAAGCTCCTCGAGGGCGAGAACCTCACCTGTTGGCTGCTGTGTCCTTAGGGCCTCATACCTGGTCGGTACCCTATATCAAAATCAGCTGGGAGAATTTGGCAAGTTCATAATGCCCCCTAGCCAACAATGAGCACCAACTCTCTGTGCTGAGCTCTGTGCCAAGTGCCCCGTGTGCCTGCCCACTGAGCTCTTGCCTTGGCCCTAAATTGGCTCCTGGATTGGAGCAGGATTTTTAAGGATGAGGACCTGAGGCACAGACAGGTTAAGTGACTTGGCTGAGCTCCCACAGCTGGGTAGAGGCATGTCTCAGATTCTAACGCAGGCCAACTTCCAACCTGAGCTAGAATGCTATCCTTAGTGTTTTGGACAAAATATCCAAATACTCTAGATCTGTGAGCAGTGACAGGAGGGATTTGGTGGGTTTTAGCTTACTCATGATCTCCTCCCCTTCCCTATTCTTAGATATGGACAATTGAGGTGCTCTCAAGAGTATGTAATGTAACTTCATAGCAAGTCCTCAATTTCACCCTCTAACCGCATTGCACCTTCACACATAGAAATTGAAGCCCTGCCTGCAATGTATTTACAATTCATCTCTGGATAGGCCATGTACACAGCATACAACATTTAACATTTTGCAAAAATCCAAGTTTAAAAACAACATCTGCATCCTGTGCACAAGCAGCCTCTGTTTTGTGCTTCACAGGGTCCCATCCTCCCCGTGATTCAGCCATGCAGGAAGGGTCCCATGCCCTGGATGTGCCCTTTGCCTTTGCCTCTGGGGTCCAGAGAGCAGCTCCACAGGCTCCTGTCCTGTGACCAACACCCAATCCAGGCCACTAGAGGGACAGAGTAGGTCAGGAGAGGCGCTTGGGGGACAGTCAGAGGGTGGGCTTCCCGAGGTGGGGGCACACATGTGCGGTGCTGCCTCTGGGAGGAAATGGGGCATGGCTGTGTTCATTGAGGCTCCCTCCAAAAGCAGGCTGTGCGAAGAACGTGATAACGGGTGGGCGACCACACTCAGTCCTGGGGACCCTCTGACAAAGCAGGCAGAACACGCCTCAGAGTTGTCCTGCTGAGGGTCTAGCAAGCTGGGGCATTTATCCACCAGGACCTGTCCCTTTGGGGTGGGAGGCTGGTTTGGGAGTGTTAACTCTCCAGTGCTTCCAGCCTACCCCTCTGGAAGCACAGATTCCTCCAAAGTCCTCAGGCAGAGCCACACAGATGGCTGAGCTCAGAGGCGCTCCCTGTGGATGAGAGCTACACACGATTGCTGCCTCTGGCCTGGGCAGGCCACCGACAGAGTCTGCTACAAGGCCTAGAGCAGCAAGACTCCCAGTTCCCCAGGCCTCCTCTCCCCACCCCCTCCCGTAAGTCCAGCCTTGTATCTGCCCTGTAGACTTCCTGCTGCAGCTGAACTCCAGCTGCCCTTTGTGACCCCGACCTTCCTCTGCCCCAGGTATATGTGCTCTTCTGCGCTGCAGAGAGCACTGGCTGCCCCCCTTGTCTGGCTCCTGCTGGCTCTCCTGGATGGGAAGTGCTTCGTGTGTGCCTTCAGCAGCTCCGTGGATCCTGAGAAGTTTCTGTACTTTGCCAACATGACCCCCAGCCAGGTGCAGCTCTTCTTGGCCAAGGTGCCCTGCAAAGAGGATGAGCTGGTCAGGGACAGTCCCGCTCGAAAGGCGGTGTCTCGCTACCTGCGGTGCCTGTCACAGGTAATCCCGGTGGTCCTCTCCCAGGCCTGGAAAATGACCTGCACTGGTTCCAAGGGGCATGGGCTGAGGAGGTAAAAATGGTCTCCTGAGGCCACTTTCCACTTCTGGAGTCACAGCCAAGGAGCAGGTGGTCCCTGGGGGAATCAGGAGCATGATCCATGTTTAGGCCAGAGTTGGCCCTTAGGAAGTGGGCACTTTCCCATCAACAGACTCACCCCAGAGCAGGCACCAGGGCCCACGCCCTCCGGGAGTCAGCCAGGCCCATCCCCAGGAGGCTGGGTGGCAGGAAACACCAGACATATGCTACTCTGTCCTGATCCCCACCCCTCAAGAAGAATACTGATTACCATTTGTTGAGCATTTATGTCAAGCACTGGGTTAAGCATTTCATATGCATTACTTCATTTAATTCTCAGAACAACCCTATGAAGTGATTGTAATTGTTATCATCCCATTTTGGAGATGGGGAAACCAAGGCCCTGAGAGTTCAGTTCACAAGGCTAACATCACACCACTTGTAAGAGGTGGGGCAGGGGCCTGAAGTGTCATTACTCCAAAAGCTCTTGGTCACCTCCCTAAGAGGCAGGTCTTCCTGGATGGCTGGCTCCCCACTGGGTACCAGCCCCATTATCCTGGGGGCAAGGCTCAGCCCTCCCTCGGCCCAGATTCCAGATTCCACTGCCACCACTCCCAGATCCCCAGCCTGGGCCATGTCCCCCAAGGAGGCATATATTGGGGTGGCATATTCTGATTTCCTTCCAAAGGAAGGTTCAGAGTATGGGTGGTTGGATAGACAAATGGGAGAAAGGGTGGTTGAGAGGATGGCTGGATAGGAAATGGTAGATACAGTCAGGTAAGAGGCTGAATGGATGGGGAAATAGTTGGATAGATGAGTGGATACAAAAATGAGACTGAATGGACAGGAGAATGGATGGAGGCAGTGGGAGGATGGATGACTACATGGGAGGGTAGATTTGAGGGAGGCTGGGAGGGATAAGTAAAGGGAGAGACTTTGGAACACCCTTGCCACACTGTACAGCACCCACCCACATTCAACTTTTTGCCCCCACCTTGCAGGCCATTGGCTGGAGTATCACCCTGCTGCTCATCGTGGTGGCCTTCCTGGCCCGCTGCCTGAGGCCCTGCTTCGACCAGACAGTCTTCCTGCAGCGCAGATACTGGAGCAACTATGTGGACCTGGAGCAGAAGCTCTTTGACGAGACATGCTGTGAACATGCGCGGGACTTCGCTCACCGCTGCGTGCTGCACTTCTTCGCCAGCATGCAGAGCGAGATGCGGGCTTGGGGACTCCGCGGGGACACTGCCAGCAGGAACTCTGAGTGCCCTGAAATGCCTGAGCTCCCCGAGGGCCTAGAAGGTGGAAAGGCTCACCTGCGTGCAGTCTCCAGCCGGGAACAGGTGGACCATCTCCTGAGCACCTGGTACTCCAGCAAACCACCACTTGACCTCGTGGCATCCCCTGGGCTCTGGGGGCGTGGTCTCAGCTACCGTGCCCCCTCTGTGGCTGTGGGCACCAAGCCTTCCCAGCACACTGATGTATAAAGACCCCAGCAGCATCCCCATGTGAAATGCCCGTGCTGACAAGAGCCTGGGGGCTTTCCAGGCTGTGGGGACCCCAAGGCTGAGTAGCCTAACCTTTGTTGTCCTCCTTCCCCAAAATAGCCCTGTCTCTGACCTAGTTTCTAGGCATGGTCTCCTGTGTGCCCTAAAAAAAAGTTTCACAAACTTTAATGTACTGAGCACTCACCTGGGCTCTTGTTAAACACAGGTTCTGATTTCCTGCATTCAGGATGGGGTTGGAGACTGTATATGGAACAAAACCGCAGGTGATCCTGATGTATCTGATCAGTGGACTAAACTTTGAGTTGCAGAGTCTAAATAGATCTGCCATGGGTTCTGGGTCCTAGATGTCCAGATTCTAAATGTTTGAAATAATAAAAACAGCAACAATAATAACACATGTTTATATGGTGCTTACTATGTGTCAGGCATTATTCTAATGTGTAATTCATTTAATCCTGGTAATTTAATCTTGTCATGAGATTTAATAATTTAATGTCATGATGAATCTCATAAGATAATCTCATGATAATCTAATGAAGGAGGATGATTATGAGCCCCATTTTTTAGAGGAGAAAACTGAGTCATAGGGAGGATAAGTTGCCTGCCATCACCCATTTGAGCTGGAATTTGATCCCACGAGGTCTGGCTCTAGAGGCTGCTCTAAACTGCTACTTAGTCTGCCCTCTAAACAGTTTGTGTACTTGTTTCCTGCACTCTGGTTGGGTTTCCCGCAGCTCCGGCCAAGGCTCTCTGAGTGAGCTCTGGCAAGCTCTGCTTGTTGAGTCCCTCTTGGAAGCAGTCATTCACTGCGGTGAGTGGCTTTTCATTTTCCTGTCAAGGGGATTTTTCTGTTTTTGAATGGCAAGGGGACTGACCCTTCCAGCTTCCATCCTCCCAAGTCGTAGGGTTCTGCTTCTAGCCAGTCAAGGCTGAGCAGCCCTGCCTGGAGCAGCCTCCATCGACATGCATCTCCATTCTCAGCCCAGCTTTCTGCTCACCTCCAGCTAGCAGGTGCTTCCTTCCACACCTCTCCACTCACCACCTTCCCCACCCCCTGCACCCTGACCCCTGAGCTCAGGACCTCTTTCTAAGGCTGCTTCCTTTCCCGGCATTCCCAGGGGTGTCTGCCCACTGCCTTCAGGACGAGGCTGGCTTCCTAGTGAGGATTTCCCAAGGTGTATGTTTTGTGGACCAGATCTGCAAATGAGTGTAGGGGGTACCTAGACCAGGCTGAACAAGCACCCCAAGTGATTCACTAAACTCCAGGGTTTAAAAACCTCTGGGCTGAGTATAACAATGAAGCAAAACTGAAGGAACAAAATAGCAGCAGACTCAGACTCCAAGAAGGAACTAGTTACCAAAGGGGAGGGGTGTGGGAGGGTGGGTGGGGAGGGAGGAGGAAGGGGATTGAGGGGTATTATGTTTAGTACACATGGTGTGGGGGATCAAGGGCAAAACAGTGTAGCATAGAGAAGGCAAATAGTGAATCTGTGGCATCTTACTGCACTGATAGACAGTGACTGCAGTGGGATATGGGTGGGGACTTGATAATATGGGTAGATGTAGTAACCACATTGTTTTTTCATGTGAAACTTTCATAAAAGTGTATATCAACAATACCTTAATAAAAATTTAAAAAACAAAAAACAAAAAACCCTCTGGGCCATGTGGGTATGGGGTCTGGCTCAGGGTGAAAACTATTGAAAACACCAGGGTTAAATTTTGCTGGAGAAACTGTTACTCATACAGGAAGGATTAGGGAAGATCTAGTCTGTGAGCTCCTCTGGGCCTCTGCTCCTCCCTGATGACTCACTCACCACTTGCACATGTGGGCACACACACTCACACACTCACACATATATACACATCCTGCTAGTGCCTCATTCAGCACAGATGGTGACCACAGACATGCAGACCACGCTCTTTGGGTCTGTATGGGTCCACCTCATGCTTTCCTGGTCCCCAGGGCAGGGCAATGCAGCAGCCCCAGAACATCCCCTGGAGCCCAGCCCCCTCCAGATCAGGCAATCTCTGCTCTCCTGGGCTTGTGCCAAGGGACCTTGTAGAATCAGACAATCTGTGCAGCTGAGCTACACTGCTGTGGTCAGGCCATGCAAATGTTTGAGATGGCACCAGGGTGGGGCAAAATTTAAGCAAAGTCTTAGCAGGGACTGGGAGGGAGAGAGGAAGGGAGCCTTGGCAATGGCCCAGTCAACACAGGTGAGCCCCAGCCAAGGGAAAGGAGGCTCAGAGGTCCCACTCTGAGCTGCAAGGAAGGAGCATCTGGACCAGTAAAAAGCCACTGACAATCCATGATTTTCAGTCAATCCTCCTACCTTCTTATATTGAGTGCTTATTGAGCCCCTGCTGCCAGGGAATAGGGAAGAGAGAACACACAGCTATAAGCCCTGCCCTCAAGGAGCTCACTGTTAATAGAGGGACAGAGCTGGGGACAGAAATAATTACAATCCAAAGTGAAAAGTATAAGTGATATGATAGAGGCAAGCTGTGAGGCACAGAGACTGAACATGGAGAACTATGACTGTAAGCCAGGGGATCCGGAAGGCTTCATTTGAATGGGTCTTGCAGGTTGCAGGTTTTACTAGTGCAGAGAGAGACTGGGGGAGGGGAACAGAGTACCCAAAGGGAGGAAACAGCAAAAACAAAGGCAAAGAGTTGGGAAAGGGGTACCGTATGTTTCATGTATTCAGTCAACAAACACTGATGGAATGCCTAGTGTGCCAGAGAGCAGGACAGAGTCCTATCTTAAGGGAGCTTCCAGTTTGGAAGGGAGACGGGACATAAGCCAGTGAACAAACAACCAAATGGAGGGGTGTGTGGTCCAGCTGGACACAAGCAAAGGACCTTAGCTAAGGACACTTCTAATGAGTCCCACCAAGAAACGCTCCCTGAGCCCCACATACAGTGACACATTCTCTTTATCCTCAGCCCCTGAAAGCCCTCGAAAACATCCCTACCCTCTTCAGTCTCCAGATGATGTGGTTTCAAACCCCAAAACCTATTTGCCATTGTCCATCCACATCACCATTTGCCCTCATCCAGTAAGAGAGAAATGTCTGGACATGCCTCCCACCTGGGAGTGAGGGACACAGCTGGGAGGCTTGCACTTGCTTCAAAAGATCCCCCATCCCAGGAGAGCAGATGCCCAAATTCACTCCCCAAGCCTCAGGCAACTCTATGTGATAGCACTTCTGACCACACCCTGAACAGAGGGCTTCTCTTCTAAGACACACAGTGGCCGGCTGGGCAAGGCAGAAAGTGTGCCCAGAAGTGGAAGTGTGGCTTTGGCTGTGTAAGCCCCCATTGCACACCACCTCGGCAGCTGCAGTTCTGCACTGGAAGGGGAAGATGGTGGGAGCCCGGAGGGTTGAGTTCAGTACTTTGACTTTATCCTGCAGGTAGCTGGAGACCTGAGGCCAGCACTTGCAGGCAAGATCAGAAGGAAGGACTATACTTGGGACTCACCCACATGGCAGTGATACCTAAGCTACAGGAATGGACAGGGCAGCCAGAGAGAGATGCTTAAGAGAGAAGAGGAAGGACTAAGACCACTAGAGTTTTAGAGGAGAAAGAAGGGGCAGCAAATGAGAGAAAGAGGAACAATCACAGAGGTGAGGAGTCCAGAAGAATGTCAGGGGGAGTGAATTTCAAGATGGGGGAAGGATAAGCAATAAATCCAGAGCCTCAGAGAGAGCCCAGAGGGGGAGGACTGAGAGAAAAGCATCGGTCATTGGTAATTGCCCAGGGCAGGAGCCTGCTTGCCCAGGGAGGGGGTCCCAGTGAAGCAGGTGGGTGGATTTCTGTAGGATCCTGGCACTGCTCCAACCAGGGTTATAAAGGAAGGGTGGGAGGTTTGGAGCCTGCCCAGATTTAGGATATTGATATGGGAGGGACCCTCAGCATCTCTGTATGGGGGAGAGTACCAGGACCCCAAAAGTACGATGGGAGTAGAGGAATCACATCCACACTAACATGCTTCCACTTCCAGGGTCTCATATTAAGGTGAGGGATCTCTCTGCTGCACACCCAGCTCTGCCCAGCCCTTGGAGACCAAATGAAATGAAGTGTCCGTGCTGCTTGATCAGCTCTGACAGGGGGAGTGTACGGGGGCTGTGCGGTGGGCAGAGTGTCTCTGAGGTCTAGAGAAGAGCAATGGGAGACAGTCAGGGTGGCAAATGGTAGCAGAGCAGAGGTGACATTAGTTTGCCAACAATGAGTCTTGAACGTGCCCCTTCCTACCTGCCTCCCTCACCCCCAGCCTTTCACATAAAGGAGGAACTGCTGTCCCCTCCCTGCTCACAGCGCCAACCCTGGAAGCAAGCCCAGGGCCAGAGTGGCGAGGGCTGTCTTCTACTTGTGTCTGAATTCCTGCCCCCTTACAAATTTCTCTTGGCCCAAGGCTTACTTCTTTCCTTTGTTTCCTTACTGGTGTATTCATTCATTCTGCACTTATTCACCGAGCATCTACTAAACCAGGCATACTGTGCTGAGCACTCGGAAACAGAGTGCGAGCCCAACACATGCGGACCTTCAGCCTTTATGGTCCAGGGAGAGCCCCGGAGAGTAAATAAACAGCCCCTCCAAAACAGGCCATAAAACTCTAATCAGTGCTGTGAAGGGAATATGATCCTCAGGGGCCATGAAAGCCTCCGTCAGCAGGACTCTCTAAGTTGAGGGCTCAGGAACTTCTCTAAAGAAGGACCATTAAGCCAAGAGCTTAAGGATGAACAGGTTTTGCTCAGATGAAGGCAAGGGGAGAAGCATTCTAGGAATGTGCAAAGCATGTGCAAAGGTTCTGGGATGCGAAGGGGGTTAGCCTGTTTGAGAAGCTGAAAGCAGGCAAGTGAGCTGGGGAGTAAACACTGGGAGGACTGTGGCCCCAGGGCCAGCTCTCCAGCAGCCATAGAGGCCCTGTGAAGAATTTTGGACTTCAGCCACTGAAGTAGATTAAGTGTGTAGTAATTTAATCAAATGCCCACTTTTAAAAGATCACACGGTCCACCGCCTGGAAGTAGCTTGATGGGGGTGGGTGTGGACTGCAGAAGGCAGGCAGTTGCTGGTGGAACCTGGATTAGGGCGGAGATGGAGAGCAGCGTTAGAGGCATTTAGGAGGTTGAATGGACTCTGGGTGCTCTTGTTTGTCAGTGTCCAGCTTAAAATTGTTGTGCATGGGGCTGACCACCTGTATTAGTCAGGTTGGAATGGGATGTAAAAATAAACGCAGTCAAAATAAAACCAAAATGTCTATTCCTTAGCACAACGAATTCTATTTCTCACTCAGGCAAAGTCTGAGATAGGTAAAATGGGGAAGGGGATGGGGGAGGTCTGGTCACTTGGGGACCCAGCTGACAGAAG